AGTTTCACATTCCCCACCAGCCCCTCATTGCTGGTGAGAACAAGGTCCAGCACAGCACCTCTCCTTGTTGGGTCCTCTACCACTTGGAGAAGGAAGTTACCATTGACACATGCCAGGAACCTCCAGGATTGCTTATGCCCTGCTGTGTTGTCCTTCCAACAGATGTCGGGGTGGTTGAAGTCCCCCATGAGGACCAGGGCTTGTGAGCGTGAGGCTGCTTCTATCTGTCTATAGAGGGCCTCATCCGCTCGGTCTTCCTGGTCGGGTGGCCTGTAGCAGACCCCCACCGTAATGTCACCTGTCCCTGCCTTCCCTTTAATCTTGGCCCATAAGCTCTCGGTCGGCTCCTCATCCATCCCCAGGCGGAGCTCCATGCAGTCCAGGTAGTGGTTGACATAGAGGGCAATACCCCCTCCTCGTCTCCCCTGCCTGTCCTTCCTAAAGAGCCTGTATCCCTCCATCCCAACACTCCAGTCATAGGAGCCATCCCACCATGTCTCCGTGATGCCAATAATGTCATAGCCCTGCCGGCGTGCGCACGTTCCTAACTCCTCTGATGTAGTATGGTTGTTGAATTTAGCCAGTGTAACAGCTGAGCCCACTGCATTGCCATGGTGTTCACATTCTTACAGAAACTTGCTTTGATAATTCTAGGGACTAAATGACAAAGGATGTCAAGGAAGTACTTCCATTTATTACCTAGCTAGCTAGCTAGCTGTCTGTCTGTCTGTCTGTCTGTCTATTGCGTTACCTAGTTTTTCTGATCTTAGCATCTTTGCCTTAGAAAATTCTTGACTTTTCTGTAAATATCAGAGAGAAGATTGATATTGCAGAAGTGAGGCTCTTAAGTAGGGAACTACCCAGAAAAATGAGTGGACATTTTTTCATTTGGTTTGGTTCTTGACTGCATTCATGTGGGGTTTTTTTTTGTTTTCCTATAATTATATACGTTATGTGTGAAGCTGGAATCTTCTTGTAAAAGTAGGAGATAATTCTAGGAGATAATGTAGTGTCACAGAGATTTTACTTTTCTATTTTTTAATCTCTTGACAGTACTTGAGGAAGACCTGAATTTTCTCTCCATCTTCCTGCCTCTACACTTTCATTAATGAAAGATACACCTTAACTCCTAAACAGAACATGGTGATAAGTATAGCTGATTATACTGTTCGCTGAGGCAAAACTTCTGCAAGTGCTCCCAGGAGGTATGTAAATGTATGTGCAATTACATGCCTAATTTTAATTGTGAAACAACTTAATTGCATGGCCAGTGCTTGTCCAGGACTACCTCATTATCTTTATGTTTTTCAAGTGAATGTGATTCCAAACTTTTATCATAACACTCTCAGCTAGCCTCCTGATGCTTTCCTAATACCTCTGCCTAGTAATGGTGATGACAGAGCTTATAACAGAAAGATTATATTCCTGGAATTCGCAAGGACTGTAATCCCTGCATGCAAGAGGACAACTTGTTGCTAATATCTTTGTTACATCCTCCACTTTATAATACCAATCAGTGCCTTGTAAGAGCTTAGATATATTTGAAAGCATTATGTGAGCAGAAGGCTTTAGCTACAGGAACTTAAACCATTTTTAGGTAGAATATGACCTTGTATTTTCTAAATTGTTCACACATATAAGTAAATACTTGTTATGAACTAATGTCTCCGGTGATTGTGGTCACAAGTGAGTAAGTTTTGTATCAATATTGTCAGTCCTTCTGAATTCTTAAATGATAGCTTTCTATAATGCATTTTAAACTAACATATCTTTTAGGTGTTTTGTGGTTTCTTTAGCTTTATGAAGGAGCTGGCCACTACAGATACTGTGCAGATTAAATTCAGAAAAAATTACCTAAATGCACACATTTATTCTTGGCTTTGGCTTCTAAGAGGGATTTTGATTTAGACTTTTCTTGAGGTAAAGAGCTATTGTTCTGGCCTTGTGTATTACAGCTAATTAGAAAAAGTGTGACAGGTATTTTTCTTTATGGTCAGAAACACACAAACTGAAAAGAGAGAAAGTTTTACTTCAAAACTGTTTCAGTGATAAATATTCCTCCAGGGCTGTTACCTTCCTGTTTCCTTCCATTTGTTTCTTCATTCCTCCGCTTTCTCCTCATTCTGGTCAGACTCTTGCAACCATGTTCCAGTCAACTCTGAAGTACTTTCTTCCCTCAGGTCTGTTCTCTTTCAGCATCTTGATTTTTTTCCTTGTAGTCTTTTAAAGCTTTTACCTTCCTATTTGTGCAGCTTTCTCCAGTGTACAGGAGAAAATAAATATAGATGCCACCTCTGTGGCATTCTTAAAATCCCCTGGAAAGACGGTGCCCATGGGCTGAGTGCCAAACAACCCAGAAGAAAAATAAGTTGGTCCTTTAACACTGAGGCACTGAGAAAACATTTAGAAAACAACTTGTCATTTTCTTTTTTTTTCCCTGATTTTCTCTCTTCCTGTATTTCCCAGGTAGGGGTCTGTCCTTGTTAAAGGACTGGTTGCCCCTTTTCCCTTAGTTTTTCTTGGAGACATGCTTTTGAGTAAAAAACTTACTGATTTTTGCTGCCTTTGGGGTGAAATTCCAGGATGCTCCCACTTGCAGACCTGGTATCTTGGTTACAGCCATCCACTTCACCAACTGTGATGTTTTGGGCCCACTATGATTTAAAATATGTCAGTTTCCTCTCCGTGTGTCTAGACCTCAGAGCGTTTCTCCATGGCCAGGTCTAGATAAGCTTCTGCCTCAGCTCCTGATGCAGTCTTGGGTACACACTGACATATCAGCCACTCCTTGCACCTCAGTTTGCCAGAAATTTTATCTGTTTGCAGTGGAGGAAGGGGAACACTGTGATCACTGTGTGAATACAACAGCACTGAAGAGCTTCTTCAAAACATGTATATCCCTAGAGCACATGCTTTTTTAGCCTCTGTTTCACCTTCTCAGAGGAAAAGCTTATTGCTGCTTTAGGAAGGTCCCAGTTTTGGGCTTTGTGGTTCTGTTTCTGCTCTGCTATTGCTATGCCTTCAGGTTTTATATCTATTCTAGGTTCAGGTTTAGGAAGTTGACTAGTTTGACAAAGAAAAGTCTTCAAAGGTGCTGATGTGGACTTTGTCAGTTAAGTACTGGTGAGTGAAGGTTGCTGTCCTGGGAATGCTGGGGAGTCAGAGTCCATGGAAAAACAGCAGAATGAAAAGCATTACCACAATAACCATAGAAATAGTACAGGTACATACAGATACATAACTCATTCAAAAGGTAAGAAGTAAAGCAACAAACCTTCTTGGAGCTATGGAGATACAGATTCAACTACTTCATTTATAAACCGTTTAGAATATTAAAGGTTTCTTCTTGCTTTTTAAAGCTTTGTTACTGAAATTTCTTTCTCCTGTAGGCTTTAATTTAAGCCACTTACTTGTAGAAAGAACATGAATAGGAAAACTTAAGCTTGATTTATTGCATTTTTAAAATTTAACTTACATGTTTCTTAGTAAGAATTTACTTCTTAATGAAAGTCCCAAAGGTTTCAAGACAGATTAATTTAAATTTTGATAGTACACTTCCTTTTCCCATAGTGATTAACGGAGTATATAGCCCCCATTTGCCCTTCCCTGTCCTTCCTGATGCATAAGAAAGTGAAAATTCATCAGCTTCAGGCTGGACCCAACACAGTAGTTGTGAAGAGTGCTGCATGTATAAATAAGAGGTAAAAGGTGGTTATCCTGGATTTGGAATGCAGAGATTGGATGCTATGTTGTCAGGAATACTTGTTAATGACTATCAAACTACTTCTAATTTGTGCCACTCTTTTAATCTTAATTTTGTTGCAAACATTGGCTCATCAGATATGTCCTTCTATTTTCTATTTTCTTCATTGTAAACTTGATGGAAAGCAATGGCGAAGGCATGGAAGGATCTTGAGATTTCATACTTCCATTGCATGGACCAAAGCCCTGCTCCATGAAATACTTCAGCCTCTACTCTAACTATGCAAATGATGTGGATGACTTGCATGCTTGAGTAAATGACTAGATCAAACACATGCTTAGGTTTGCACTTTGGATAATTAAATGCTTAATTAATTGTTTAGCTGCAATAACCTCCTCCACTCCCCACCCTGTTTTTCTTCAGTCCTGTGTTTGCATTTGTCAGTTTTTCTTTGTTTTACACCTGGACTGAACACACTTTAAAGAAAAGTCTGTGCAAACATGGGACTAAAACCACAGAAGACTGTGGAGTTAACAAACTGGGGTTAAGGTGCCTCTAAGCACTGTAGTGATTTGTATAATGAAGGCTGACTTACTGTTTCATGAAGACATCCTAGAGTAAGACTCTCAAGCTCTGTCTTTATTAGTATTGTTCTTTACTTTTACTCTTTTCTTAATTTTCCATGTCTTCAATAGGTGAAGTTGTAATCCCATCTCTATGTCAAAGGGCAGTACCTGTTCTTCTGTGGAGAGATGAATGTGTCTTCAAAAATTGTGTGCGTGATTTCTTTTTCTGGAATTGTTCCTGAGAGGTGTGCAAGAACAGACTTAATGTTCCCTGAAAGTCATACTGATGCCGTTGTACAGAAACCAGAACATTTATCTCCCTCCACACATCCTCGGTCCCTTCATGGACAAGAGGAGTCTCCTGAGGTGAATCAGCAAAGGCTAACATTTATACCAGCAATTGTTCTGCAAGATTGTGTATGTGATTCAATATAGTAATAATTAGATGAAACAGGTCCCTTTTTGCTAGGGACCATGCAAAACAATAAAAAAATTAACAAAGTCACTTACCATCTAAATAATTTCTCTGGTTTTAACCTAGAGGATGACATTTTATAGCGCTGGTTGATTCCTCACTAAAGGTTCTGTTATTGAGGTCTCTATTTCTCATGCCACTTTCATCCTCAGGCTATAATTATTTGTTCTTCGAAAAGTTTCAGAAAATAATAATCGACTCAGTTTCCAGAGTTAGGTTGGCAGAAAAATATTCTGTAGTGCCCATAACAACCTTTTGTGTTTTAGCTGCATTTGGTTAAAATTTTCTACTCAAGGTTTGACCAGACATTTCAAATGAGTGACTGGAGGAGTATCGTGTGTCCAGTACTGTGATGTGAGAGAGAGTGCATCGTGCCTTTTCCCATTAGTATCTTTTATGATGAAGTTGTCCATTAATTTGTCCAGTCCCTCTTTGAAGCTGCTGATATTGTCTGCCTCCACAACTTACCAGGGCAGCATGCTTTGTGGAGAATTTCGTTTTGTCTTGACAGTGTGTGAAGCAGTATCTTCTGGCAGTCTCCAGCCTTTCTCTATGGTGAGCTTCAGTGTCGACTCACCTGCACCCTGATCTTTACCTTTATTGTCTTTATGTGGCCTGCAGCCCCAATTTGCTTCTTGTGTTTACCTATGAGGCTTCATGTCTGATCCATTGTGCAGAGTCCTCTCACTTTGATCATAACTGGTTTCCTCTCATCACTGAGTTGAGGGCTGTCACCATGCCTGTCACTTGGTCTTTCCATGACGTCTAGACTTCTAGCTTTGATGCTTTCTCATCTCCTCTCAGCTCTCTACACCCTGTCTTTTGTTCCTTGAATATTCTTGCAGATTCTGTCCATTTCTTGCTCATCTTTATCTTTTGGGGTCTCTGTCCCCATCCCAAAAGTTTCACTCTGCCAACTTGCAACTTTGTCTTATCTTGTGAGCTCTGTTTTGTCTCTGGGTGACTATACCTGTGCTCCTGCTCTGTTGTCAGTCCCACAGTGCGGTTAGTGCTGCATTAGGCATTTGTTCTGCCAGCTCCTGTTCTTCTACCTTCCTTGATAACTAGCTGTACTTCTCCTTTGCTGCTTTGCCACTATTGACTCACTCTTCAAATTGCTATCTCCTCCTGCACTTTTCACTCTGTACAGTGTGTCACTGAGATATCATACTGATGAAGCGCAACATAACTGCACTCTTCCCAGCTCATCTTTCCTTCATCTTTTTACAGTTGTTCTTTTTTTACTCCTCTTGAGATTCTGACACCTGAAGTGCATGTATTGAAGACTTTTTCTGCAGAATATGTTTTCTCATGCAGCCACACAGCTGAAATCTTTATCTAGGCCATCATCTCATTACCACTTGCTTGCAGCAATAGGCTTTTCTGTGGCCTTGAGAAATATTCTTTGTAGCAGTGCAGAATGCACAAAGATCAGTTTTGACCAACTTTTCTGTCTTCATC